CCCAGAATGAGCTGGAACATGTTGCCGGTGAGAGGGAGGTCTGGGTCAGCCTGCTTGGCCTGCTGCCACCGCGACCCGACCCCGGATAAGCGGAGGAAAATGGATGGATGGATGGAATCTTTAGGGTTCATGAGGGAGGATCAAACATAGTCTGTACTGTAGCCTTCTAGTACATTTGAGGGTAACAGGAGGGGGAAAACCATCTCAAGCTATGCCTTTTTTGAGTGAGGATGGATGTTATTCTCTGGGTTTTGGTAGGTCATGCCTGAGTTAAAAAAGGATAGAGCTGAAACAGCCACTTTATAATTGGAGCTGAGTCAGCAGGTGAATGATTGCAAATCTGCCCTATGGGATCATCACCATCATTATGATGTATCAGAGAAAGGGAAAAAAGGGTTATTACTGTTGTGTGTAACCTTGCCCTGGGCCCTGCTAATTAGTTAGACTAATACCAAACACTGCCAGCTCCAGATAGGCTGTCACTCTAGCAAAGTCCAGAGTCGGTGTTGCATGTGTAGAGTGATACTGAGACAGTGGAAGTGAGGAGTATGGAGGCTGTCCTTTAACCTTGAGTTCAAGACCCCTGGACAGCAAACATCCATCCTGCTGAACTGTCCTAGAGCTCAGGCAGACACTGAATTCCTACCTGCTCCTGAGATGTTCAGCCAAATGAGAACTTCCCTCTTCAATCAATAGTATAAGACATCATTAGTCCCTCCAGTGTCATTGCTAAATCATTTAAAATTGGCTTTGTCATGCAGAATTTAGGGACGCTGCCCGCTGTCAAATAGCCGCGGTCCACTTAATGTAACACATGATTTAAAGGTTGGGACCGACAAGGGGTTTATTCTCCAGATTGTGTGGGTGTAAGAAAACTAACATGGTTAATTACATGGGCTGCCAACAAACCAGCAGTGATTTCCCCCGGTGGTTGTAAAGGATCTCTGTTACTATGAGGCATTTACTCCGACCTTATCCCATGAGACAGGCTCAGAGTACTGTAGGCTGTGCAGCAGTCGTTAAATAAACCCCACACTGCCTAATCCACTCAACATCAGCTCATTCATGACCACAGAGTGGAGCGGACAGTAGACATGTATGAGTATTTATCTGGTTTAATCTGGATGATCTGCATATTTGTTCACTGCACATCATGACCGGACATAAAGTCTTTTTGAGAGGCAGAGACAGAGGTTCTCCAGAAATCTGATGTTTTCTGTTGTTTTTATACCTATATGGCACAAATGTCTAGGTGGGGGTTAGTCCATTTTGACTGATACACTATCAGAAGACCTCTATTTTCCAAATCATGGGCTGAGATAATTAATTTATAATTGTCAATGATGATGTATCTTGATGGCGATAAAGTTGTGATAATCAGTTGAATCAATGAGGGTATACCCATGCCAGTGCTTCCTCAGTGAGACAACAACCTCTGTGTTAATCTCCCAACTGGCATTGGCCTTTAGCCTCCCAGCAGCTACAGCCGCTGGTGCTGGGGTTGTTTTTGAAAGGGAGAATATCCCACTATAAGCTTGACTCTACCAGCTCGGTTGGTCCATTCATTTTTAATCTGTTAGGTATGTGGAGCAATTTGGATCGGGCAGCCAGGCCTTGGCCCCTAATCCGCGGATCTCACCACGGCAAATGACTGCCCACACCCAGGAATGACCCCCACGGTCTCCAAACGCGCTCTCTGTTTATTTATGCCTCTTGTTGTTATCATTGGCCCCCTGATCTCCGCTTTGGCTGGGAGCCAGGAAAAGACAATAGGACAAGGCTGACCGTCAGAAAGAGCACAGTTGAATGATCGCATAAAGTAAGTCAGAATAGAAAAGTCTCCGAAAAGAGAAAGGCACCGATGATGAGGACTCAATGAGGATCCAATGGTGCTGGTTGGACTTTTGGTGTCAACTTTGTCCCAGACTTTTTCCAAAGCTGGCCCCCTTCCACAGATAAATGTCTCACCTTCCCTCATCTGCTGTTTTGCTATCTTTTGGGAGCGGTTCAGCTCAGCGGTTCATGGGAAATACGCGCCCGGGAGATGAAGCGTTGGCGTGTCAACGATAACCTGCGTGTCACTCCAAGATACCGCCGGCGGCTCTCCGTAAAAAAAACCCGTGGCTTTGTCTTCTGTCAGTGTCGCCATCACAGCTAAACGCCTGTGACTGCACAGCTCATCGCCAGAGAGAGGTGTCATCCCAGAGATGTATCAGCCTGCAACATGTCCCCGTCTCTTTGCTGGTCCACTCGAGGTGCAAAAGTGGACTGACTCAGGGTAGTGTGTGTGTCTGTTTGTGTATGTACTTGTGTGGCTGTCCTTGTGAGAGTAGATTTGAGTTTAAGCACATTGAAGTGGGGGCCATTTTGGTAAAGTG